TGATACAGGTCTGCGGTTAACTGTAGTACGAATAGCGATGAAAGTAGGCAAGCCGATGCGCTGTTGCCAAGAAATGATTTCCCATGTATAACAATGGTTTTTCCTAAGGTGTATATATATATATATATATATATATATTAAGGATCGACTGTTAGAGGTAAATTCAATCCTAACCTCGCAACTGTTGCTTTGCTCTTTCAATCTGCTTGATGCCCCGTTTGGCGGCGTTTAGGGAAACAAGCGCCCATTTTGCTCTCTTTTAATTTGTTTACTGAACATACTCGCTGTTGCGGATCCGCTTATCCTAAAAATCGTATACAGGTTACTGTCCTCGCACGGTGGTACCTTGGTAGGTGCCCACGAGACGGCGTGGTGCAACTATAAAGTGACTGGAGATTCCTTACCAATCCGGTTTGTCTCACTTGAACGCCGCATGTGAGGCATCATGCTTGCAGATATTGGGGAGAGGCGACGCGACTTTGCCAGATGAACGGGTAGTGCAGGAAAAGGTTGTTATGGACCAATTTTACGTACCTGTTTGACGGACTTGATCCGCTTAATTCCTCTGTTATACATGTTTGTAAATAGCTTTTTTATACGAGGCTGGATCATTTATGAATCACAAGCGCTCTCACCGGTTCTTGCCCTGTAGTGAGTGCATTAGGAGTGGGAAAATCCTTGTCAACTGTTTCTGTCAGTTCATTCGTCTCTTCAGCCGTAAAAGGAAGCAACATATCCCACCGTCGGTAGCGCAACGGGTTGTAATAAAGTTTTTAACTAGGGAATGATACTGAGAATAATACCCTGTCCCAATCTCGAGTGCTTGATTGATTCGGAAAGATTAACAGTGGACAATGTGAGGCATAATTGACGTCCAAGGTCAAGTATATATATCTGGTGTTAACATTGGTGCTATTTATGATAACCGACGTACGATTCTGCATAACTACTGTCAAGTGTTGGAGGCAGCAAAAGCCACTTATAGAAGTAAATAATGCGGTTTCTGCATGCAGCTGGCTTACTGAAGTAAAACTAGGAGCTATGCATTGAGAAAGCCTTAACCACCGCCCTCACATTTGCCACGCTGCCTCTATTGATTCAAAAATGATCAAGATGTTGAGAGACTCTTGCACAATTTGTTAATGATACAATTTTTGCGACCAAGTAATATACAAGTTTCCAAACCGCTGTAAAAAATGTGTAGTCCGTGCAGGAGCTTTTTTGCCAGCATAGTGACTATTTAAAGCATGCTGTGGCGGCAATGTCAACGTTTTTATCTTTGTATTTGTTTACCTTTGTTAAAATGTTATCTCTTAGTCTGGAGCAGAGAATGGCATAATGTCATCTTCAGCGATGAATCGCGATTATGTCTAGATACGCACGATGGTCGTAAAAAGGTAAGACGCCGCGGTGGAGCACGACGTGATATTCAATTTCCTGTTGAGAGGCATGTACAGAGGACTGTTCGAGTAATGGTTTGGGGGGCTATTGCCTATGGTAGCCGATCATCCCTTCTCTTTGTTCAAGGCAATATGACAGCTACGCGTTATGTTGAAATAGCATAGGGTCTGATAAATTAACTTTTATTTTAAATGTGTTAGTCAATGTCGCCGGGTGGATTAAAGAATCCAGTCTGGATAAATTTTACTTTGCAAGTTTATTTGTTTGACACGTTGAAAGAAGGTAGTCTATATGTTGTTGGATAGAATAAAGAATATAATATGATGAAATTAACTTCATTAGGCAGACACCTCAAAGGTTTGAACCTTAGGTTGGCACTGACGTTGCAGTGCGGAACACCGTATTCTATGAAGTGAGCTTCAGATACTTTACAGTTAACATTGAATGTCAATAAATAGCAGATATTCACTCCCAGGCCTGTGGCTTTGTGGTAAAAGCCAAAAGACCATTAACTCCGAAGTTAAAAGTCGTTGACCTTGAAGTCAAAAGTCGATGACCCCGAAGTTAAGAGTCACTAACCTTGAAGTCTTGGACAATAGCGGAACTAAAACTAAACTACCTGAAGTGCATGGAAACTCTTCGAATACGGGATTTTCATCGGAGACGTTCTTGGAGAAGCCACATTGTGATATCAAATCCAATCTGCTGAGCATCGTTGCCGTCATTCAGGTAGTCCCAACCAGTTCTATATCATCTCATAGGTCACTGACGAAATATGCGCCCTACCCTCACATTAATTGAGAACAAGGAGGATCAAGCCTTTGAGTGAGCGAGGGGGATCGGCGAATCAAAACTGGATCGGCTGCATCAGCGCTTCTGAGAGCTAATGCCCGTCTGACAGATAGTCATAGATCATTGATCCAAGAATCAAAAGTCACTGACATCGAAGTCAATGATTATGATCGAAGATCAGTGGCCCTGAACTGAGGCCTCGAGTTGAAGTGACATTGACCTGAATTTAAAGGTTATCTTGACTCTGAAGTCAGACTTCAATAACCCTGAAGTTAAATGTCAAGGTTTTTGACGTCAACGGACTTTGACTCAGAATTTGAAACTTTGAAGTTAAATTTTATTGATTCTGAGATCTCCCATGTTTGACTGTGGTTTGATACACCCAAACATGGGAGATTAACGTATGGATTGTATCCTGCAACATATATCGCAAGACCTGATTGTAACTACTTTCTTTATTCCGACGCTGCCAGTTTCGCCCATCCTGTATGAAAGCAAGTGCATGTCTTTATTCACCAATTTTCGAATAGGTCTCTCGAGGTTCCACCTATTCTAGCACCGTGGTGAAGAAAATTTCAGCATTATATTGTTAACCAGTAAAACGTACAGTAGAAAAGCTTTTTACCAAAGTAGATGGTTACTCTGCGAGCCGACAGCTAAAAAAAGGCAGCCTTTGCACGGGATGTAGAAAAGTATTTTGCTAGAGCAACTGCTTTTCTACGACGCTACGGTGCGAATCTGAAAAAAAGTTCACTTTTGGGAGGATTAGCAGCAACACTTAAGGCGCGCGCTTAGCTTCCATACCGTTCGCCTGAGTACAATAGAAACTGGAGACTTACCAGCTTTTTCATTGAATACTCGTATTTCAAATCCCCATTACCTTCGAATTGTCATACGAATATTTGACAAAGAATAATTCAAAGACACAAATTTTACATGATCCAACTCCAACGTTAGTCCAGTTATTTATCAAACATGGAAAATTATTTCATACAGTGGTGGTGAGGGTAGGGCTGGAAGAAGTATTGGGGGTTTATTTCAATTGTTTGGCGTTAGTATATTATGTATATACTTCTAACCCCGATAATTCTATTTATGTAATCATATCACACATATATTTCCGCGCACATGTATCCCTAATGCAGAATGGTAGTATTTCCAATATCTGCTTCAATTCGACATTTTGTTTCATTAATATCCGCCGAACAAGCACAACGAAACCGTTTCGTCATGACTGCTGCTGAGGTTTAGTCATCAAACCTGTATTTGTAAGATTTGTCTGGTTCTCATAGGGATTAACACACTGCATTACTGCTTGATGGTATTTTCTTTAGATATATAAGATATAACAATCCACGATCAATGTCACATCTGATATTCGCCTCCTAACTCCTTCCTTCCTTCCTCCTACATACACGACTGTGATCAGATCGCACTAAGGACTAATTTATGGGTCTATTTGAATAATTTGATTCATTTAATTCTTTTGTTGAACATGTCCGTAATTAACATTCTTTTAGATGGGAAACTTGAGCCGAAAATAATCCTTTATGAACTGATGACAGTCTAGCGTGGGAAGTGCAGAGTCATCCTACTTGACACCATTTTTTTTTAATTTCTACAATTGTTTTTCTGACATTCAAATAATGTGAAAAGTATCATTTTTCTCATAAGGGCTCAGACATTTCGATAAATTGTAGCCAATCGCAAGATCAAGGCGCACAGAACCTTCTTACAAAACCGCACTATCTATAGAACAGACAAGCCGACCAGCACGATATAAAATTAGGCACAGGGTAAAGTCGCAGCACAGTGACAGTCATTTTGGACGCTGGCCAAGCATATTGAAAGGAGCTTCTCACGGGGTAGATTTCCACCACTTACGTGCCAGGATGTGACTATTGTAACCGACTCCGAAGCTGGGGCGGAAGTGCTTGTCAAGATCTTTGCTGCCAACTCCACCATGGACGTCCCCTTCCCCGCAAAGTCCGTCGATTCAAACGGTTCCCTACACTATGCGGGAAGTAACATTTCTGGTCCGGACTTAACTCCTGTTCCAGTTCTTCCGCGTCTCTGTCAGACATCTTACGAACTGGAAACTAGCTCATGTCCAACTCTCTAACCTACAGTCTCGGGACCCTTTTGCACCGGTGGGCCGTCGGCGATCTAGCTCTCTTCTACTGCTACACCAACTGGCTTTGCTCCTCAAAGCCCTCCACCATGATGCCGCCGCGCGATGTGACTGCCAGACACACTCACCTCCCATCCTAACCGTGTCGAACTTCGTACATACAGAACTGGTCGATAGATCGCTCGTTTGTTCCAAAGTTGTCGAGATTGTGGATCAATCTACAAGAGGAGGCTTTTCCCAGTTCTACTAACCTCATGCAGTTCAAAAATTGGATTAACAAAGTTTCTTGATGCTATAGCAGCAGCGGTGCCCTGACATTTAGGCTTCTGCCTGCGCGGCTGCTTCGGTATAAAAATATACCGTTTTTTCTTTTCTCCGCCAGTAATGATTCCGTCAATTTGGCTTTAGATCAACGCAAGGTCTAGGCGTATTATTTACTATGAGCGAATGATCAATTTTGCAATGTCTAAAAAATGTATATCGTTGGATATCCATTAATTACCGGACTAACACTCACATTTACCAATGTGTCATCTACTTTATTTAATTTCACTGGGTTATAATTAAACTTTCACTGACTATCGTAGCTGCAGCCGTGTATCGGCCACTAAATATAAGCGAGTTATAACGGAACCGTCATTCCTGTACTTACTAGAGAAGTGTCGCCTACCGCTAGATTTTTGTATTTACGTGCGTAAAAATGGGTATGGTTTACAAGGATATGCCTGGAGGCAAGAAGATGCCCGGAATTGGATTGGGAACATGGATGGTATGGCAACTTCTTTGTTTAACATAAAGTGTGAGTGGGGACAACTTAGCGTATAAGAAAAACCAAAAATCATTTAGTTTTAAGGAAATGAAAAACCTGAAATCGAGTCTCAGTTGTATTCTGTTTGTTTAAATCCCAGAAGTGACAAAAAAGTAAATATTGAGGGAGAACTTCGATCCACAGAGTATCAGGAAAGGGTTGATTGGTATCAATAGAGTAGAATCTAACCGGTAAAAAGTGCACTTTTAATCTTCTGAATATTAATTTTATTGTGCCCTGCAACAGTCTTGGTACCAATTTTTCCTACGAATAGAATTTTAAACAGAATTATTACAATCAAAATCCGATCATGATCTACAGCCGCAAGAAATGTTTGTTATCTGGTAATTAACATGAATAAAAATAAGAACAAAGTAATTAGAAACTCAACTGCTGAAACGTATAGGATTGAGTAAATTAATCATTCTGCTTATTTGCTAACATATATATATATATATATATATATATATATACTATTCATAGTTATTGTCGATAATAACTAGTTAAATTAAAGCTTGAGTATTTGTAAGTCAGAAGGGTACACTTTGCTTAATTTGTCGATATCCCCAAAGACAAGTCTTTCATTTAAATATATATATAGTTGAAAAATTAAAGCTTCCGCCTTTTGTTGGGTACTTCGACAAAATTTAAGCAAAGAGGACTCTTTATACTTTTTTTAATTCTCTCAACGTGGGGTCCTAACCACCAATATATTTATATATATAATCTAGCATATCAAGGTTTTAGTACTGTTTGTCATTTAAGATGTGCATAGCATTCTTGCCAAACTAACCTATAGTTTCAAAAGTTTTATTTTGGCCCACCATTTCCCATACAATTTTTCAAATTACGTTTCGATTGACACGTTATCTTTAATCGTCTTAATGTGAATTTTCATAGACGTTCCTTCCACGGCTATTAATTGTTGTTATCGCTGACGTGTCGTATGTGATGATGTGCCCTGGGTGATGTAGCTGGTCGGCGATAATGTCGTGTTCTTTAAGAGGTCTGCCCTGGTTGTTCCAATCGTAGCGTTTTAATGCTGCTGATGATAGGCTCCCATATTGGCTTAATTTCTATGCTGGCATTACTATGCACGTCGGTGTTGCTGGATAAGTAAGCCTCGACGATACAAGTGAGCTTCTTTATGTATGTATGGTCTTGATGTCTACCCAGTTTATTTCGTGGTGTTCTCTCCATGCGTGTTCTGCTATCCCTGATTTCTCTGTACCAGCGTTGAGTGTTGGTGCTCCTTTATCCTCATAGCCAGTGGTTTCTTCGACTCCCCGATGTAAACTTTTCCACATTCAGATGTGATCTGGTATAATCAGCTCGTGGTGTCCTGATTTTCATTCCTGGGTTTGGTTTTTGTGAGAATGCTTCGGTGCGTTTCAGTCCTTTTGCAAACTTTTTTTACTATTCTTCTTGGGTATCCGTTGTTTGCCAGAACTTCCTTAATCTTGCGAGTCTTCTCTTCTAAAGTTGCCTGTATGCTGCAGATGTCCTTAGCTCAAACAACGAGAGTTCGAATCACGCCTTTCTTCGTGATTGATGGTTTGAAGTATAATGTAGGCTTTGCCCTGTGTGTGTTGGTTTCCTGTATAATAAGATTTCTATCTGGCCTGACACCTAGGAATGGGAGAAGGCTCTTGTCGAGTTCCTCTTCTACCGTAAACTTTATCGATGCTCTTAGACTATTGAGGTGTGTAGTTTTACAGTCACCCACTACGAACCGTGAAATGGTTGCCATACAGGGTTTGTCCGGAAAGTAATAGGACTCATTTTCTTCCGCCATGACTGTACTTCGGAGCGCGTGCGCACCGACTGGATTCGGTAGAGGGCGTTCCTGGCTAACGAATGAGCGGCTGGTCAGTTGTCTCCGAGCACTTGGAGAGTCAGGACAGGCATTTTTACGCGACGTGTTTCTATGAGTGGTGTAAGCCGAAAATGCAGCGTTCGTTAGAGCAGAGGTACGCGATTAAATTCTGTGTGAGACTCGGCAAATCTGCGACGGAGACGTTAGATATGATCAAGCAGGCTTACCCAGGTGTTGCTTTAACAAGAAGTGGTGTGTTTCGGTGGCACCAGGCCTTTTTGGAGGGCCGGGAAGAGGTCGCTGATGAAGACCGTGCTAGAAGACCTTCGACTTCGACAAACACCGATAATGTGACTCGTGTGCGCAAAGTTTTGAACTCAAACCGTCGACTAAGTATTCGTTTAATTGCCCAGATGTTAAATTTACCAAAATCTGTGGTTCATGACATTGTGACACACCATTTGAACATGCGCAAGGTGTGCGCGAAGATGGTCCCAAAAGTGCTCACTGACGACCAGAAATTTCGTCGAGTGGAAGTGTGCCAAGAAAAATTGAACATGTGTGAAAGTGACCCCCAATTTTTGATTAACGTAATCACAGGTGACGAGTCGTGGATCTTTGAGTATGATCCCGAGACAAAGAGGCAATCTTCCGAATGGCACACGACGGCGTCTCCTCGCCCAAAAAAGGGAAGAATGAGCAAGTCCAAAGTGAAAACGAAGCTCATTGTCTTTTTTGACATCAAAGGCCTCGTCCACCATGAATTTGTTCCTCTTGGACAAACCGTCAACGTCAAGTTTTACGAAAACGAAGGGTCAGTCGGGTCCGATAAGACATCGCAGCCGACTGGAAGTTGCACCACGACAACGCCCCGGCTCACACCGCCTTTCTTGTGAACAGATACCTGACCAAGGCCGGCATCCCAACGCTTCCGCAGCCGCCCTACAGCCCAGATGTGACCCCCCCGGACTTTTTTGTTTCCTCGCCTGAAAAGTCCGATGAAAGGCAAGCGTTTTGAGACGACAGAGGGGATCCAAGCAGCATGCACCGCGGCTGTCAAGGCTATTCCGGAGAATGCCTTCCGTGATGCCTTCAATGCTTGGAAATCGCGCTGGCAGCGCTGCATCGACGCAGAAGGAGAATATTTTGAATGTTTTTAAAGAATTGTAACGATTGGCTCAATAAATTTTTTTAAATCGACTCAGTCCTATTACTTTCCGGACAAACCCTGTATATTGGAATAGGTCATTTTGGCTACGGATGCTGGCGACCTCGTCATGACGTCCCGGTGAGGAAGGTCTCTTACAGTCCTCTGCATAATGTACTATCATTTATTTCGTTCAACTATGTATCTCATGTTAATAAGACAAAATTTATGAAATTTAAATGCTCGCTTGATTTTATAAATTTGAATAATGAATTGATACACAAACCATCAAATTCTTAGGACTGGCCATTGATCATTTGAAATTAGATTTCGCTAGTCTTGTAGACAAATTGCTTGCTCAACTAGCAAAGATTTCCTTCATTATAAAAACAATTAGGGAAAAGCATAGCCTTAAGTATAGGTATAGCATTCCCTTTTGGTGAGTTCCCGAAAGGTGTTTAATGCACAAAAACGAACTATTAGATATTAGATATTAGATATATAACTAAAAGCAATCCTAGACCTGTATTTGTAAATCTTAAAATAATGACTGTCGTATTATTCTACATTTTAAAAGCAGCAACTCCTACTTAAAAAAAAATTATTCCAAACACATGTTATAACATTAGGCGAAAACAAGATCTTCAATATTAGTAGTACCTAAAACAACACTTGTGAAAGACTCAATAATTTATAATGGTCTGAAAATTTATATGTATCTCCCTGATGCTATAAAAGAATTAACAACAAGTATATTCCGCCGTGATCTTAAACACTTTTTAATATGTAAACCATATAATGCCTTGGGTGAGTTCTGGATTTCACCTACTTAAAATCCACATAATATGTAATCATGTTGTTGTTTAAAGTTAGCTTTGTCATTAAGAATGATTGTATTCTTTAGACAATAAAGTATATTTATCTATCGTATTTATTGTGTAGGTATTATGTCAATATGTGGTTGCAGGTACAAAGATATATCTTTTTATCTATTCAAAGTATTATATAATCATGGATAGCAGTTTTATCTGATTGTAAAAAATGCTTAGATTTTAACCTTGACAGTATCATTGTAAAGGTTATGCATTTAACTATGCGGCTTCCGCGTATTATCTCCTTTCATTTCATGTTAACAAATAATTATCTGATATTGCGCTTTAGTTATAGTAGTAGGTTTGCTACGAAATACTCAGTATCCCTATCCAAGTAGCTTAGTCGTAAAAATAGTCGTAAAAGTTTGAACTGATTAAACTTATATAATAATAATAGCAGTAATAATAATATACTAAGTGACATATAAATCCGAACACCCAGTTTAAATGGTTTTACTTTAATAAAATTTTGTATAAGTACTTAATGAAGCATAATAAGTAAATGATAAAAATTTCAAAATGATTGCACTGCTTTAAAGCCCTTTGACCTTTAATAATGTGTGGATGCACAATGATGTGCTACGCATTCTCCAACGCGCCTAGGCATGCTTCTGATCAGGTAGTCAATGTCCTCCTGTGGTATCTCATTCCAGGCAACCACCAACTCCTCTCGAAGTGCTTCTAGAGTCTGAGGAGGACGTTGCAAATTGAGCAATCTCCTACCCATCATATCCCACATGTGCTCAATTGGGGATAAGTCGGGAGGTCTTGGTGGCCATGGTAACAATGTGACATTATTATGTTGAAAGAAGTCTATTGTGACTCTTGCAACATGTGGTCGGGCATTATCTTGTTGGAAAGTTGGATCTGCCAGGGTGTCAAGATAGGGTAAAAGATAGGGTTCTAGAACTTCGTGGATATAACGCTGCACGTTCATGTTACCTTTGATGAAGATTAAAGGTGACCTGGAACCATAAGCTATAGCACCCCAAACCATAACTCCAACAGTGTGATGAACATGTCTTTCAACAAAAAACTGTGGATTCCTCCTTTCACCACGTCGCCTTCTAACCCTGGCACGACCATCGTGCATGCCTAAACAAAATCGAGACTCGTCACTAAAGACAATACTGTTCCATTCCTGATCCCAGAGTGA